GCAGTTTACTATTTAAAGCTCCTTCATTAAATACAGAAGGAGATGGTACTTCCTAGCTTGTGGTATTTCCTCATTACATCTCAATGTGGTACAGTTACAGTAATTACATAAATAAATTGACTTTTTATGATGTATAAAATGAGTGAAATTTGGAGAAGAGCACTTTGGTTTGTGTCCTGGGACTTTTTCCCCAGTGTGGAATGGAATCATAATGGAATCAAACTGATACCAAGAAATAACAGTGCTCTTATTCTTCTTAAGTAACAAATACAGTTTGGGAAGAAACCTCTCCTGTCTTGTGAACCTGCAGTGTGTCAAGAATAAAGCTGCATGTTTTATGTAATTTAATAAACAAAGGATAAATTATAAATGATAATAAATGGATCATCTGCAGGTCAGCCACGAATCCCTACATTTCTAAATCAAATTTCCACACAGAAGTATGAAGTTAATCTTGGTTTAACATTATGCAGTTCAATTTTGGCTTGACTTCATACTTTCCCATTGCCCAAACAGCTAGCTAACATCACAGAAGTGCTATTTCATTTTTTTCATAATGTGGCCATTTCTGCAATGGAAAGAATCTGGAACAATTTAAAGCTACAAACTGAAGCACCACCTGATCTCCCACATAGCAGAAGTTCTCCTGAAATCTCAGTGCTTCATGGTTTCTGTAGTTCTTCAGCTGGGCTTCAGGTTGAATTGTGTTTTTTTAAATCTATATTCTGCTTTCAAAGAAATATAGTGGCCAGCTAGATCAGTAATTCTTTGACCTGAGCTTTATCACTAGCTCCAGGTATTGAACGATGTGAGAAGGAGCACAGACTTTTTCAACATTCCAAAATGAAAGTTAAAGAAAAGAACAATTTTTAATAATCATCCTCTGACCTCAGTTTGGATGCTTGGATTAGTTTTCTCTCAAAAAAGAGAAAATAGGGCAAACTGAAAGAAAAAATAGGATTTTTGTGTTTCTTTAAAAATAATAGTTAATTTTAGTAATTTTAACACCATTTTTTATGGTGGCAGACTTGTGATTCTTTAATTCCTTAGGTCAACAAGATAAATGCATGTTTAAAGACCCTGAAACAGAAAATATGATCCATGTTGTAAGTGATCCAAGCAGTGGAAACAAGAAACAATAAAATAGATTTTCTGAACTGATAGCTTTAGTAGACATTTTGCTAGCTTTCCTGTAAAACTGATCAACTTTTTCTTTATATTTCTCATAGGAGATTCTTATGGGGGAAAATGTAGTCTCTTAAGAGACAGCAGCACAAGGAAATGTTTGCCATATTTAGATCTCCTTTCACTAAAAAATGAAGAGGTCATTTCAGGTCAATCATCCTGGGCTCTTTTCTTTAAGGGAATGAGTCTCCAGCACGGCTCTTTATATGAAAGGACTTCATGGACCTGAGTTATAGCTATTGGTATAATCACAGGTTTCAGAAATAAGAATAGTTATTTCGTATTTCTTTGTGAATGGAGAATGAAAAGGTCATTCAGTGTACGGTACTTCAAACACTTAAAAGGAAAGGTATTTCACTGCTTACTTAGCTTTTTATGTACTATATAGAAAGTACGCATAATGTCACACTGCTATGCAGACGCAGAAGGAAAGAACCTCTTTCGCTTTATGAGAAAACTTGAGATACCTCTGTGTTTCTTATTTTGCCAAGGAAACCATAAGGTCTGTGAAGTCATGGATGACATGAAAAAGATAAACAGTCCTTCCCTGGTATTTCTCATATAAGATTTAATGGAGATCAAACTAAATAATTCTGGCTGATTCAATGCAGACAAATGGAAGTGTTTTTTTTACCTGGCCTTCCATCAACCTGTGGAAACTCCATGCCAGGAAAGGGATTGGATTTTAAACTATAGATTTAAAAGCAACAAATCCATGGAAATATAAAAATCCACCCAAAGGTATCATATAAAAACAGCACTGAGAAAATACTTGAATTTATGGGAGGCTTGGAGAGGATTCTTACATACTCCCCTGCTCTTACACGCTTCCTTCAACACTGCCAGCATCCTGTGTTGGAGACAGAATGCTGAGCTAGACAGACCTTTGATTTAACTTGTCAGTTACGTTCTAACAACTTTCCTTTTTGCTTTGTGTGTGTGTGTTAGTTCTTGCAATTTGTTTTGTATTTCCCAGAGATAAGTGGCACTTTACAGTTACAGATTACTGTTGCAGAAAACAAGTAGATGTAACTATTTTCATCTGTATGAGTAGGTACATACACCAAATTATATACATTTGAGAGCACAAACCAATGCCTCTGGAGGCTAACCAGCAGTCCTAGCAATGCCTGATGAATCATAGTTTGGGAGCATTGGGAACAGGCTCTTTTTTTCCCAAAGCAACATATGTGAAGGCTTCTGGAGGCTGTTTGCACATATGATGGGCCAATGACCTGATCCACAACTCATGAGGCATACTTGTTAATGACAAGAATTACTAACTTTAGGTTGATTAAATAACTCACACAAGGAAAAAAAATGTTATCTTTAACAAGATTTCTGCTGGTTTACAAACATTTACAAGGATTTTCTTAATCTTAGCCCACTGAGAATTGTGGAAAACCATACACGCACATTGTAATCAATGTTATTCAGGTAGCAGAATATTCTGTTTCAAGGCATAACCTTTTAGGTGCAGCTATTGATCTATGAAGCCAGCATTTTGTTTCTTGGCACTTCCATTGTGTGAGATGCAGCTGAGACTATTTCCCAAGCAAATCAAGATTACAGCACAATTCAGAAGGGTTGTCACTAAGTGAGGAGAAGCAAGAGCTACGTTTTTTACAATAAAAATGAATTTTCATTGCTGTGGGTACCTAAGGTATTAAAATGTAGGTTCAGCCATATTCACCCAAATTCATCCTAGAGGATATAACGTAAAATCTTTATTTCTGTTGTATTGAATTAAGCTTTTTGGTTAATCTGGAAAGCATCCTAAGGCTTTCACCAGTCTTTTAATTCCTGGATTATTTTCCTTTGCCTGAAGTTTCCCTTCTGCTTCCCTTTTGTATGCTATTAATACTTCATCTCTTTTGGGAGGGTGATTCACGGTTAATCAGCTCATCCATTCTCAGACATTCAAAAACACTGCTCCATGGATAGGCCAGGAGGCATTGCTATAACCCTTATGTGGTTAAACCCCCTTTCCTTAGGGGCTTCGCCACTGCTACTGCCTTGTAACTCTCATACAATTACCATCAAAAGATTGGACCAGCTGCAGACCTTACTGCCATCAACAGAACTACAGAAAATGCAATTTGAGCTACCTAGTAGAAGCTGATTTAGATAAACATCCCAGGTAAACAAAAAAAAAATTTGGAGGACAAATGAAGTAATACTTGGCAGAGAGAAAAACTTCCTGCACTTGAACAGGAACACCTATGCTGCGTTTAATGATCTTATTCCACCTGTTTTTATTGATTTAATTCCTCTTTATTACTCTATTCTTATTAATCTACTCTGTATTACTTTATTTGAAGTAGATCAACTTCTTTTTGAAAGGTACAAACACACTGGCTTTCAGATCAATTCTCCACACCTATTCCATGATCTGTGTAACTGTAATACTTCCTGCTCAAAAGTTCTGCCATTCGTATCACATTATATAGGCTGAGAAGCTGCTGGTGAAAAGGCATCTACAAAGGGCTGCTGATATTATTTCTTCCCTCAGGGTTAGGAAAACAGTCTCATTACAAATCAGTTACCTACCAAATACACATTTCACTGAGAAATGTTTAAAGGTAATCCCCAAACACTACTTTTAAAAGCCACTTGTTTCTTGCATTTGTTACTTACCAGCCCACACCAGTTCATCCCCCACTCTGCTGCCCTCTCAGCCTAGTGCATGAAATTCAATTCTTACACCTCTTAATACTCAGGTGAGGATTGGTAGTGCTCCTTTTTCTCATCACCCCAAACATTTCAACTTGCAACTGTAAATATATCTTCCGGGATTCCCTGCGTAACCACTTACCTTACTTTGTGCTCATTACCTGAAGGAGGACCCAGCAGGCACAGCAGAGATGCGCCCAGCTCAGCGCCAGCCCTGTGCCGAGCAGCCAGCCTGCAGCACGCAGCTCTTTCTAAAGTGAACTTCTAACGTTTTATTCCGAGCTGCAGATCATCTCTAACTCCAAAAGCCAGAAATTGTTAAACTCCCTAGAAATTACCCAAAGATTTCTCACAACCTCCTGTAAACGTTCAATAATGTGGGGGTACCTGTTTGCTCCTGTTTGCCAGCTCCCTGGAGGCACGCTTTCTGTCTCACTCTAACTTCTGGGTTAATTTGTGTGCTCCTTTCAGCGGGCTGCATTTCACCTCCCCTCCGCTTCTCTGAGAAGCCTCCAGTCCCCGTGTGACATTACTCGGGCTCGCAGTACTTCCTACTGCCCTTCAGCAGCTTCTGTTTCTGTGACCAGCTGCGTAGGATGTTCTATCGTGATTCTGGAGGAGCATCAAGCCCCTCGTTGTGGCAACTCGTCTTTTCTCTTAGCCTTCTCGGCTGCCCTCAGGCTCCGGACTTTTCTTTCCGCCCGCGGGCCGCAACGCGTTATCGTCACGCACAGCGGCACGGAGACGGCTCGCCTCCTCGCAGGGCTTTACGGTCCTGACCCTCACCTGCCGCGGGCATCCGTTCCCAGAGCTCTGGGTCGCGCCCGTGGAACACTTGGGCCCTCTCAGGGGGTGGCTGACCCGCCAGCCCCCACTGCGGGACGCGAGGAGCGGGAATGGGCAGGAGACCAACGTCCGTCCGGCTCGCGCCGCACTTCAGGTGCGTCCCGCGCTCGGCGCGAGCCCTGCTCCACCCGCCTGAGGTGAGCCGTGGGGGCGGAGCCGTCGGGAGCGCGCGACAACCGTTACCGCCCTCCCGCCGCTGGGCGCGCGGTAGTCCGGCTCCCGGCCAATGGCCCTGCCGCACTACAGCTCCCGGCAGCCCCCGCGCCGTGACTCGGCTCGAGCGACGGCGGCGCTGCCCGGGATGGAGTGAGGGGGCGAGTGGCGGAGGTAGCGCGGCCCGCCGAGCTCCGGTCCCCCTCCCCCTGGCTCTCTCTGGCTCGGGCCTATGCGGCTCCCCAGAGACCATGGGATCCAGGATCAAGTGAGTTCCTCCCCCCTGGCCCCGCTCCCTGAGGAAAGCGGGAGGGCTCCGGAGCGAGAAGGGCACTTCCCCGCCCTCCTCCTAGCTCCGTGTGGAGGCCGCGCGGGCGGGACCCCGGGCCAGGCCGCGGGCGTCGGGTGTGGGGCGACGAGGACGAGGGGCGGCAGTGGGCAGGGCGGGAAGGCCCCGACGGAGCGGCGGGAGCTGCGCGGCCCTGAGGGGAGCAGTGCCGATTCCTGCCCGCAGCCGGCCGGGCCCGGACCTCTGGGAGGCAGAGCGGGGCCCGGCGCGGCGGCACTGGGTTTGTTTGTCAGTCGGCGCAGGCCTTTAGGAGGAGTGGGGCTGCTGGAGCCGGAACGTGTTAACTGTCAGCACTGGTGACATCTGTTCTGGGGGTGCGGTAGGGTTGGGGGTGATCAAAGCCTCGTTGCCTGCGTTAGTGCCCTGAAGGAAGGGGGCAGCGTGGCTGTGGCACCTCTAAGCTGTGCTGCCAAGTGAGCTTGAGGGAAGAAGGCGAGAAGTGCTGGAGCTGGTTGATCTGCTAGGCCTGCGGGTCTGTGCCCTCAGTACTTCTTTTATTTTCATAAACCTTTTAAACAGGATTTATATCAGTAAGCACTACTGAGCCCGGTTCATCCATAATGTTGTTCCAGTTGAATTCTGTTCACCTGAGACTGGTGGACGTGCAATAACACTACTGCCGAGTAGGGTGCTTATGGCTGTGTGCTGGAGAAGGGCATCCAGTCAGCCTGCATTTCCTCGAGCAGTGTCTATCAGTGCTGCTGAGCAATTGCTCTGGGGCATTTAACATGTTGTTCTTCAGGGTAACAGAGGGCTTTAACTTTTAACTCTGTTGCTTAATGTAAGACTGAGTGTAAGACTGCAGGACACATCCTTTGTGTGTTGTACCTTTAAGTTTCCTTGCTCCTAGGCTGGGTGGACTTAAGTGTGCTGGTATTTTAAGAAAATGCAAATGGGTACTGAGTGATTGTAGTGACAGTGCTGAAATGATGTTTGATTCCAGAAAACTTGTTTCTTTTTCTGGGATGGGCATAAATTTGGCACTTCTTTGAAGTATGTGCTCTCAGCTGTTGCTACAAAAAAATCAAGGTCAGAAAAATGAATTAAACTTTTTACATTCCAAGTAAAGGTAGAACCTAAAATTGTTGCCATTTTGGCAGCAGAGTGAAGGTTTTGTCTGTAGCTTGCAGCTGTGGGCCTCACAGCTGTCACCTTTGTATTGGTCACTTAAAGAATATGGTCCAAAGTTACTTTTTATGATCTTGTTTTAAACCAGCTGAAAGACTACCAAAGACTAACTTGAAATGTGATTCCACTGTATATGTATCAGATCCACAAGCAGTGTTTGCCTTCTCTTGCATTTTGATTGATGCCAAAGAATCTTGAAACCCTAGCAAAATTCCTGTAGTCAGGTTTCTTACTTCTTGCTATAGATCAACAGTTATGAGGGATATTAAGCGTCCTGGCACTTGATCACTGCGATATGCTCTGCATGAAACCCAGGCATATGTGTCAGTTATATTTTTGATGGATTTATAGTAATGAATCATTAAAGTGAAAGACTGCTTAAAGAAGGTTACCAGTAGCTGCATCGAAACAAAGTGGAAGAAATTAGGAAGCTGCCAGTAATCCCATAAGCTTTGGGCTTGTGTATAGCCTCAGGTGAATAAAAGTAACACTGGGTTCTGCTGTTGGGTTGAGCCTCGCATTGGAACATGCGTGTGCAAGGTGCTTTGTTCCAGAGAGACTGACAAAAATAGGAATCTGCTTAACCTGGCTGCTCTCACTTCCTGGTAACCTTCAGTGTTAAAAGCATTTTAAATGTGTCCGTGCCAATCTTCATTTCAGAGGCAATTTTGTTTCACTGCTGAAAGAAGAGAACCCTAACATTAGCCTGAGACTTTTATCATAGAGCTTGCTATGTACAGAGATGTAACATTTATCTACTTAAGGAATGGAATACATGGCAGAAAAGGTGAAAATATAGGGTTGGAAATGTGATTTCTGAATTGGATTTGCAACTATGGACTCGATCTAATATATTTTTCTTGAACAGTTGATAGATATCAAGAGTTTATTCATAAGTCCCTTGCACTTTGGTAACAGAAATTATTTTGACTATAACAGTTGTGTAAGGCTTAGTTTAAAAAATATTTCATTTTAAGATTGAGTTTCCTGTGGATTGCTGTGATACTACAGCTGTTCATACATCAAACAGATTTGAAATAATTCCTATGAATAGGGTTTATCACAGCAGTATTTTTTTCTCATAGAACTCAGTTTAAATTACTACTCATAAAAAATTGCACTTTTCTGATTATTCGGTCATCAAACAAGTAGGGTATTTACATACATGTTCCATGTATTTTTTTGTTCACATCTGTGTTGTTCTCTTGATAACTGACCGTGGCTCTTTAAGTTACCTGGCAGTTTTTTGGAGGGAAAAAACCGTGTGTGAGTTTTGAAGTTCATAATGCTGTGGACAACGTCAGGGATGAGATTTCAGTACAGTGCGTGCGTGGTATCAGCTGTCTGCAGGGGAGGCTAACAATCATAAAAAGGGGCTGCAAAATATACATATTAGTGCATGTTTATGCTGTATTTGCAGAGTGTATGAAGTCTCACAGTGAGTTGTTTCCTTAATTCTGCAGAAAAGCTTTAAAATATTCAGAATTTAACAATGACTTCATTCTCCTGCTGACTTCATTCTCATACTGAGGTGTTCGCTTGTTGAATGCAGTCTTTAATACCAAGTTTCTAACTTGGCAAAGTTACTTTTACTGAACTGTTTGTAGAAATAAGTGGATGTTTGTCATGGGATATTAAAATATAAAATTTGAAGTCTTTTGATTTGAAAGTTTTGGTATATAGTATGTGTTCCTGCCAGCTGCATTAAGAAGTATTTTCACTATAGAATTTAAACACAGACCTTAATATAATACTAAAAAGGCGTTTGTTATTTTATCTATTAGTTGTAAAATATTGGAAAATTTATAAAATAAATTGAGAAAACTTAGTGCTAAAAATAGGTATGAACAAGTTTGGTAAGGTCAGACTGCACAGCAGTGTATCTTAAAGGAAAGCTCATTTCTGATGTTAAGTAGATGCCATATCATGTAGTCATCCTGTGCCATGATGGTAGGAGTGTAGCTAAGAATCTCAATATCTGACACAATGATGTGCTGCAGCGCCTCTGTGTTGCACAAAGAGTATTTGCAGGTTTATTCATAATTCAAAGCAACAATTTGTTGATTTTAGTTTTCTTGTGACTTACCAGTGTAGTTTCCTGAAAAATGGTTCCTGCATGCAAATTGGATGGAACTTGTGGAAAAATAAATTAAAATTAATTGAGTTGTGAACAATATCATTGCTCCTGAGAGGTGGTTTGTGAAACTGTAGAGTGTGATCCTATACTATCCTAAAGCAGTGGCAGGCTTTCTATTAATTTAGATAGGTTTAAGGTTTGGCTTAGTGCCACTTCAGTTGTGGGAACTGGGTTTGTGGCATGAGTAGAAATGTTTGTTTTTTTAAATAAGTTTTGCTGTTGAAGTAGGACAAAGATGATATAAATTCCCTGAGGAATGGGCTCAGCTCCTTGACATGTTTATATTCTTGGTTTGGGATGCTGGGTAAGACGAGGTTGTTCTCTTTCTTCCCTTTTGCAAGCTGGATATGTAATAACATTTAATATTATGGCCAAGGATTGGAATAAAAGCTTTTTTTTTTTTTGGCAGTGCTTCTGAATGACAGCTCTGTGACACTGCTGTATCTAGTCAAAATAAGTGAAGTGACATAAAGGATCTGTGCTTGATTTCTGTTAGATTTTATTTAACTGTATTTTCCCAGTAGAATTTAGATGCTATTTCTCCCAGCTAATCTCAACTTCAGTACACCTGGTGTATACCTGTGAGGCTGAAAAATCTGAGGTGATCAGATAAACAAGATAACCATTTTTATCAAATTCTCATAGTAATATGTATGTTCCTAGAACCTGTTTAGACTTTTAGAGTAATTAAAAATGTATTTGGAAACAGAAATTCTCAGAGCTAAATCCTTTTTTTTCCTTTCAGACAAAATCCGGAAACTACCTTTGAAGTGTATGCAGAAGTAACTTATTCAGGCATCAGTTGCATTGGGAAAGGTAATGTTTTACACTGTAATTTTATCTGTTTCGTGGCAAAAACTATCCTGAAGAACCATGCAGTGTAAAATAATAAGGTATATTCGATATTATGCTGGTCTGGATTTATAGATGTCTTACTGGTTCTGCAAAGAGAATCTTCTACAGTTGGAACTAATAATGAGAATCTGTCCTTTTTTGTGGAGGTTCCAGCATTCCTTGTCTTTGTAAATAGAAATAGCTCTTACTTCATTGTGTTGAAGAAAGAAATGCATTTTCAGGTTTGTATTTGCTGCTCACGCATAAGGAATGGTTAAGTTTAATCAAAACATACTCCGAATAGTTTTCTATGAAATTTGATTTACTTACTGTTTCTTACATGCTCACAAAAGTGTTCTACATTTGTACTCAAAATTTCTGAGAAATATTCCATGTTTACGCTAGAGAAGTCCCATAACAGCTGAAACCTGCATGTAAGTATATTTGTGAATGTTTTATTATACCTTTTTTCTTTGTGCAGCTGGTGAAGTTGATAAAATCAAGTTGAAATTCCTATACCTGGAACTTATTTCAAGATGTCTTGTGATATCAGTTTCTAGATTGTTACGAAAAGGAGAGATGTTGAATAGGGCTGGACAACATATACTGAAGTAATAATGTACCTTTTTTTTTTTTAATGAAAGAATATCGTGTTTTGTATGTATGGTACAACAAACCAGTAGAAAGGATTTTGATCTTTCTTTGACTAGGAAGCCATTTATCTCCTTCTCTATCTGTAGGTAAAGATTTCGTCATCTGTGAAGGTAAAATTGCTGCAACTCTTTTTCCTTTAGTGCCAAAACCTCCATAGTAGTTGTAACCGGAATACAGTTTTGGCTTGTTCTACTGTTGTGCACTGTCTCAACTATTAGATGTAACTGCAGGAGCCCTTTTAATAACTAATCTTTGTTTCTGCACATCTGACCTGGATTCTAGTGCCAGAAAATCTGAACAAATTTGACCGTAAACATTACATTGTACAGTACCAGTGTCTGGGTATAATCTTCTCTTTGAAGTGTGTTTGCATCCCCCTGGAGGGATTAATTCCCTGCTGTGGGAAGGTGGGTTAAAAAGCACTGAAACTACTTTACAGGTTTTTAATTGGAGAATTTAGTATACGTCCTGTTCTATAAACCAACTGATTCTGTAGGAGTTTCAGTTGTGTTTTTAAGTTTGTTCTATTCAGTTGTAAGTGCAAAACCTTCAGTTACTTTTACTGTGTAAACGATAGTTTATATATTCTGAAGTTAATTAATTGTCTGAATAATCTTTAAGCGTTTTTTTTCCCACATTTTAAAAAGAAAGTTAAGAGATGCCCCTTATTCACAAAAGTTTTAGATCAGCGCATCTCCAAATATTTCATCCTTCTGTTCTCGTCAGGATCTGTTGTTTGAATCTCTGCAGTCTTCCCTTCTTCATTGGCTAGCTATTCTATGCTGGAAAACCTAGAGTATGTATCTGTATTGTACTGGAGTCAGAGGAATGATGAGGAACAGTTGCTATTAAAAAAGGCAAAACATAAAAAATGCGTAAGGAGCAAATTGTCAGGCATGTTTAAAAACCTTTCTTCCTATGCGATGGATTCCAAAATTGGCTAAGACAACTGACTTTGAGGTTTATGTTCAGTATCATAATAGTATTGATCACTTAAATTGCATTTCATTCTTACATCAATTTTCTAATATAGTTTTGAGGAAAATGGATTGCTCCAAAGCTGTAAAAGTCCTGGTGTGGGAGACTGTCTGGCTTCTGGGATGATAAAACATGCCTTCACTTTGTTAATAATAGCTAAAAAGTTTGTGTAGGAAAGGGTATTTTTCAAGTGACTGTTAAATATCACATGCAATTAAAGGCCTTAATATATTTCATGATTCGTTTGCTTCTTGCAGATATGGGAAATATTTACTGCTGTTATTAACTACTAGCAGACAATTGTAAATTCAAGTAGCTTCATTGCTTGTATATTACTTAACAATCTTACAATCTTAAATGTTTACTTAGTTAAAACCTTTCTAAATAGATGAGAGCATTATGCATTGTCTACCATGTAGAAAATTCCATCAGTTTCCAAGGCAGGTGACTATAAAAGAAGAAAGACTGTCTTGGGCTCCAGGAAAGATATTGATAAATTGGAATGTGTTCCTGAAGGAGCACAAAGATGGCAGGTGAGCTGGAGCACCTGCAAGGAGAGGTTGAGAGTGCTGGATTTGTACGGCTTGGGAAAGACTTCAGGGGACCTGTGCAGCAGCCTTCCATACCTATGAGATGTTCATGAAGGTGACAGCCTCTCATGCCAGTCACTGCGGGAGGACGAGAGGTGGTGACATAGATGGAAACGAGGTGTTCTAACAGGATATCAGGAGAAACATGTTCACCATGCGCACAGCGAGGTGTTGAACACGGGTATGGGTTGTGCAGTCTCCAACCTTTGCGATTTTAAGGACTGCGTGACAGCCTGAACCTGACCTCACAGCTGACCCTGCTTTGCACAAGAGGTTGGACTTGAGACCTGAGGTCCCTTCTAGCCTAAATTGTCATATGATTTGATTTCTAGAAATGTAAGCTCCAGAACACCCTGGAGGTGCTTTCTGCTCGTGAAAGCTGATAAATCGTGAATTGTTTCCTCTGAATCAAGACAGAGCTCTGCCAAACTAGAATGAAGTGTGTGAATTGAGAAAGGAAAGATTGCTGGATTGGTTCAGCTATAGGCTCTCTGGCCTTTTCCCCTCTGAATTGTTTAGAAATTAAACATCTGTGTTCAGGATTGGTAATTTGTGTATTTCTAGTGCATGAAGTCTTCCATATATTACAGATTTCCTAATTAAATTGTACCTTAAAGTTATGCTAGTGATTTTATTTATACATTCATAGATGATCTTGTTTGGATATGTATAGTGTTTTCTTACTTATTTCAGTCTTAATTTTTAGTAAGTTTTCATGATGGGACCTGTGTCTTTGGTATTCTTTTATTCTTTGGAATTATTTTATTCAGTGCATGATTTAAGAGCAAAATAGATGCTTATATGGAATACCATTATTTAACTGATTTTCTTTTCCTGTTTTTAAATCTCATGTAAAGGAAGGAAGAATGCATTCTGTGAGATTATGAAGTCCTTACTTCTGATTTATGCTTTTGTCTTGTAATACTAAAAATTCATAGACGTTGAGGTAAACTACAAGGAACTTTAATTGTTTCTGTTATAAATCATTGCTGCTGGACTTCTGGAAGATCATGTGGCAATCGACTTTTGACGTAGTGTGTGCTTATGACTGTTACCCTCGAACTGCGTTTGTTATTCTTGAACCTCAGCTGTAACATTTATTTTTCTCCACCAGAACTTTTGAGATGCACAGGTAGAAAGAAATGATTAGAGGTTTTGGTTTAAATACCTATCTAAAGAAACCAAAGCTATACTAACCACTTACTTTCAGTTCTCAAAGCACTTTATGAGCTTAAAATTGATGCACATAATTCATCAGAAATGTGTGGCAAATTTGAGGATTTTGCTGGGCCTGAGCCAAAGGTTCTCTCTTGTTAGAACGAGCTTTGAGGAGAATTGGAACATAACTGTCAAACTATTGGTGCAGAAAAAGAATTTGTTAGTCTAAAGTAACAGATCAGAATAGTCTCTAAAGTATGAAAATTTGAAAGTAAATGCTCATAAGAGTAAGGCAGTCCCCCTCCACCCCTATCTGGGAGGACATAGCATGCTTTTGTATGGGGTTTTTGTGTTCTCGCCAAAGCAGACTTTATAAAAGTGTGTCAAAGCTGTAGCTTTGCCATGTAGCGTGCCAAAAGGCCTTTCTCTCCAAGGACCTCATCTTTCATCTTTTTGTGAGTGTAGCATAAATTCTTGCTGTGTGTTCAAGGAAAAAGCTAAAATGGTTTAGTACAGCTAAAGGATTTCTTTCTTTTTTTTTCTTTTTAAATCATGGTAAGTTAGAAGCCTAAATGTGATAGCGTGGACACAGTATAAATGTGTTGGAGTTTAACAAATGTTCACTGGATTAGTAAAGGAAATGTAGTTTATACAACTTCTTTTATGACAGAATTTAAAAGGTCTTGCTGTAGACTCACCATGTGCTTCTTTCTTTTCTTGAAAACATACCACTAAGTTGAAAAGAGAGATGAGTCTTAGAAGGAAACTATTAACTCCGAGGGAGTTTATCATTGTTTGAGAGAAAGGATGGAATTTGCATTTGAATTGGCTCGGAGAGTAGCATGTACTACTAATCTTGTTCCTACTAGAAGCTTGTGAGTAGTTTAAGTACTTCCTTCTTTACTTTTCATGTTCTAGCCTAGTGTTGTAATAGCTCTTCCCTCTACTCCCCTCCTCTCCAGTACATCGCAAATGTTGTAACTGAAATTTATAGAAGTCCTTAACTCTACTGGGAGATATCATGACGTACTTGGGCTCTGAAAGTGTTCTACAGTTGTTACTGTGGTTTCCATGATAGGACTTCTTCAGGTAGAGAGAACTAGCAGTCTTTTGCCTCTGCAGAGTGCACGTACTGCTACCCCTTACCATATTCTCTTTGTTGTAGGTTCTAATTTTAGGTAATGCATCAGTGCCTCCTAAAATTGGTGCATTTTTTTGAACATAAACAAAGTTACTTCAGTAAGGTTAAGAGTTAGTAATTCAGAAGTTGGCAAACCTTATCCATGCACCCCTAGAGCAACCTTTATGTTGTGAAGTGAAAACATTTTGTTGCTTGAAATCTTCCTGTTATGTATTAGGAAATAGGTAACATTAAATAAGTAACAAAGGAAATACAAAATTCAAATTCAAAACACTCCTTTCTGGTAAAAAGGGTTTGAGTTGAACTTGTGCCGTAATTCGGGTACCACGAGTTTTCCTATCCTACCTTTATGGTGCTGTGTCAAACTTCATTAGACGTGATTGGAAAAATAACCTAATCTAAGCATGTGGGAATGGTGATTCTCCTAAGCTGCTGCTTTGCTTTCTGCTTCTTCAATCACT